ATTTGGAATATTTCGTAATGCGATGCGCCGGTCCAGTTTGACGTTAGTTTGCGGCGCGGCGGCCATAAGTCGATGTATCTTCCTGGACTACTAACCTAAGCACAGTTAGCGTGAATTTTACCGGACCTCAGGACATATTTAACGTTGAAGACCTAGATAAATCCAAATTTGAATCACCAAAGCACATTTCTKYAGTTTTATTTTGGCATTAGCAGAATATGGTTGACGATAAAACGACGGCTAAAGATTTGGAGCAATGGATAGAACAGCTTATGGAATGCAAACAACTCACAGAGGCACAAGTAAAAACTCTTTGCGAAAAGGTATTGTGRTGTACTTCTTTTATAAAAAACACAAAAAATAGTACGGCGTTGGAGTGCTTAATCGAACTTTGATTGTGGTCGTTTTGCTGAAGTTCTTGAGCAATAATTTGGTTGTTTAAACACGCATGGTAACTTACATTTTGTACATTTTCTCCAAAGCATGATCTAACTTCTCTCGGCATTTTAGGAAAATATAACTTCAGTTCTCGAATTATAGAACTTCATTCTTCAATTTTTATTATTATTTCATAATAGAAGCCGTATGCAATCTTGTAATTCGAAAGAATTTAACTTCGAAATACCTTATTGGATAAAGCAAAATTTTGACTTRGGTCATGAATTTGATCAAATCRRCAATCTCAGCAATACCATTTCCTCTTTTGGAAAGTTTAACTTACAATGCACAGTACAAGGTACAATATTTATTCTGTTACAATAATGAGAACTTGACGATTTTCACAGCATAAATATTGTCTTTTAGAGGTCTACTTGTCTGCAATAAGAAATGTACAAATTTCAAAACTTTTTAATGGTATTTCATTGGAAACTGGTCTTCAAAACCCTTAATGAAGAATTGGATGGACATCAACTATCTGCATTGCCACGACAGAATTTAGTTCAATAGCTCTGCCTAGATAATGCAACTACAAATAATTTTTCGCAAGATGGTGAGGAGCGGGAAACCACCAAGAGAATTTTACATTTTTAGATTTTGAAATGTCAATTTTCTCCCCTTGGGTCACAGTTTAGAGTCAAAGACCATCACTGGGGATCAAAAATCTTACAAATAAATGGTGTCTGAGTCAAAAGTGATACCTAAGGACTTAGGGGAAATATTTATTAATGTCAAACTCCTCACTTTGGCAGAGCATTAAGAAGATAAATTGGAATTCAGCCAATTAGAGTGCGCGTTATATCCCAGAAAAATCAAATATAAAATGCAATAGTAGCCGACTTCAGATATTTTGGTCCAGTGACCATGCACAAAAGAGTTGCATACGAGGCTCCAGGGAAATAAAAGAATAAATCAAGAATATCCATAGTTTTCCCGTAGCCTCGTGTACGTTCTTTTGTACATAGTCATCGAACCAAAATATCCAAAGTTATTAATTCTGATAGAAACATGAATAACTGCTTTTAGGCCAAGGAGATCCTCAGCAAAGAATCCAACGTCCAAGATGTCAAGTGTCCAGTCACAGTATGCGGAGATGTCCATGGACAGTTTCATGACTTAATGGAGCTCTTTAGAATAGGAGGGAAGTCGCCAGATACAAATTACCTTTTTATGGGAGATTACGTAGATAGAGGATACTACTCAGTGGAAACAGTCACTCTCCTTGTTACATTAAAGGTAAGATAATAAGGACACTTTATGGAAGAATTTTGGCTAAGTGTATGCAAGGAATTTTGGTCGACAAGCACAAAATCAAAAAAGTTGGGTGCATGGTTCGTGCTACTCCTTGAAGTCCTTGAAAAGTCCTGGAATTGAAAACTAGTTTTTAAAGTGCTACTTGAATGAAAATGGCCTTATTTCAAAACTTCAAGTAATGCAAATATATGACTCATTTATATCTATTAAAAACAATTGCAGGAAAATATTTGTCTTGGGATTATCCCACATCAGAGAAATTTTGATTCAAATGATGGAAGAACAAAAGAATTGAGTAGATGACGTCATCTACTCCAACATTTTTTGCCCAAATTATTAAGGATTTGTATCAATATCTTCTTGAAATCTGTTGCTTCATGATTATTACACCCATATGGATAGGTCCATTTGATTTCCAAGTCTTTTCTAATGTTTTGCAATTTCCGTCCAAGTAGCGCCCTTTAAGGGTGCTTGAAAAGCTCTTGAAAATGGGGAAAATTGCKTACTCCTGGAAAACACCTTAAAATTGAGAAATTGTCATGTTCCTTTTTAGCTTTAATTGGATTGAAATGTGGCTATTTTTTAAAATTGCTACTGATCACGTTTGCAAACGTCAAAAATATTCCTTGAAAATTGCATTTTTCAAGTACATGAAAAGTCCTGGAATTTTGTAGTGAAATTATAGCATGAACCCTGTGGGTATTATCAAGTATCATGAAGTGGGTATTAAAGTAATTYAACTTACAGTATTATCCTCTAATTCCCTTTTCTTTTGTGTCTATGTGACTGTAACAATTTAATAGTCAAATTTTGTTTTGCGGGTTTAATGCCTTTGCTCTAATTTTTAACACTTTAGATAGTTTGTTGCTACTAACTGTTCATAGAATAATAGAAAACAATGGCATTACTCAATTTTGCACTGTTTTTCCCATTGTTTTAGGTTCGCTATCCTCACCGAATTACAATTCTGCGAGGTAACCATGAAAGCCGACAGATTACTCAAGTTTATGGTTTCTATGATGAATGTTTACGAAAATATGGAAACGCTAGTGTATGGAAGTATTTTACGGATCTATTTGACTATCTACCTCTAACTGCACTTGTCGACAACCAAGTAAGTCATAGTGCTGTTTTGTTTATGCATCATTCCCAGACCCTCCTCAGTGACCTTCACCTTCTTGTACCCAGATTCTCCTAAAGGATTCTTTCGCTTTGGAAAAGCCTGTTTTGTTAAATATTCAAACCAGAAAAAAATCTGGTTTCCAGTCTCCATAGACTTACTTGTTGTTATGTATCTATTTGAATAAGAAAAGTTGTGTGGTTTGAAATCACAGGGTTTCAAGATCTGAGCTGTATAAGCACTTTAAAAATTAACGTTATTATTATTATTATTATTATTAATAATAACAAAGCACTACAGCAAACACAAACCAGATTTCTTGTTCAGTTAAGAGCCCTGGGGGGTGGGGGTGAGCAGTTCAAGTTCACCTACTGCTATTATTTAACATATATCCCATATTAGGGGGGTAATTAATGCTCCATTATGTCCAATGATTTCAACATAACACTTTATTGAGTACATCTATGATAAAATTCTGCAATGATGAGGACATAAATATAATATAATTATACAAAATTATTATCTAGGCAGTAGTTTTGTGCATTTTAACTTGACTTGTATTTGTAGATATTTTGTCTCCATGGTGGCCTTTCTCCATCAATCGATACATTGGATCATATAAGAGCATTGGACAGAATACAAGAGGTTCCACATGAGGTACTGTACTAAGCTTGTTATACTCATATGCTCAGTGTTCTTGGAATGCAGTGTATGTATAAATAGTATAATTTAGAATAGACATGGGGTTTCAATAAATTTGCAAGCAAGTGGCCGAGTTGTAAAAGTAGCCAACTACACAATAAAATTGAGGCAGATTTGTCACCAGTCTCACTCTACTTATCGTTTGAAAATGGTGGACTAGACAGCTAGTGCTGAAGTTTGAGATGGGAGAATCTACGTAGCACTCAGTTGATGTAATATATTCATAAAGATATAATACAAAACACATAATACAATAGAACGAGAAACAATGGAATACAATACATTTTATGAATACATTACATCAACTGCGTGCTACGTAGGTCACCCCAGTTTGAGATCCTTGAAGCAAAGAAATTCTTGAAATTGAGGAAAAGTGTAAACTTTTTTGAGATTGCGATTAAAAGTTAAAATTTAAACATGAAATGGCAACAGTAGTCGACTCAAATGTCTAAATAGATTCTGGAATTCGCCAGTTGCTAGCTTTTATTGAAATCCCTGAATAGATAAAGTTTAACTATCCTTCAGTGTCCAATGATTACAATGTAACACTACTATTGGTTGAGTTCTACAATGAAAGAATTCTGCAATAATGAGGACATATTGCCATGGATATCTTAACAAATATTATACGGTTTTTCATATAATGTTGAATTTCTTGTCAAATTCATTATGTGTCACTAGGTCTGTCTTTTGACTCTCAAGGAATTTAGTGAAAACAAGCAATAGCAGGGTTTTCAATAGTAGCAGCAAAATCGCCATTTATGTCTTGGTTAATGACCACTTACTTGGTGAAATTACTTCAGTTTTCTTGTTAATACAAATGCAGTATCTCTAGCTACTTTTGCCATTAACAGACATCTACTTTTTAACTCAAAGATTGCAATGCAATCGAAGAGTTATCAGAGGGGGATGAATCTGTCACTCACTCAATCACTCACTTTCCTGTAAACTTGATTTTTACTGTGAGCCCATCAATCAACCAATACAGTAAAAACCCGCATATAAGAACAAGTGGATTAAGAACACCCAGGCCTGATTTTAGGAAATAAAGTACCATTTATATAAGAACACATTCAGCCTGAAAAATGAAAATTGTTCTTATATGGAAAAATATCAAAGATCCACACTACTTTTCATTGCACACATAATAGTTCCACCCCAATTATATGTAACAAAATACTAAACAAAATAAAATATGTACTGTTATATTGATTTCATCTGTTGGTAGCCTTAGTATGTTCCTTATTTTAAGAAGCCTTTTTTAAGAAACCTTTTTAAGAACACTTACAGGCTAATTGTGCAGATCATAACTCTTTATATAAGAAACAAATCAGCCTGAACCAACAAAATAGGTGTTCTTATACGTGGGTTTTTACTGTATTTGTATTTTAATACTTAAAAGTAGTTCTATGTTGTCTTTAGGGTCCTATGTGTGATCTGCTGTGGAGTGACCCTGATGACCGTGGTGGCTGGGGAATATCACCTAGAGGTGCTGGATACACCTTTGGACAAGACATATCAGAAACATTTAATCATACTAATGGATTGACCTTGATTGCAAGAGCACATCAACTTGTTATGGAGGT